TCGAGAACGGCACCGTGTACCGCAATCGGTTCCGGTAGTACATGTTCGTTGAACATGACCTTGGTTTTATCCAAGTTCATCCGTAGGCCGATGCGTACAGAAGTATCAGCTAAGTCATTCATCATCTGCTGTAGGTCCTGCAACGTCTCTGCCATGATGACGATGTCACCTGCAAATCGCAAGTGAGAGATGTATTCGCCATTGATATTGATGCCACGCCCTTTCCAGTGCAGCGTCTTGAACATGTCCTCCATTGCATTTGTGAACAATTTCGGGGAAATAACGTCCCCTTGTCTCACTCCTCGATGCAATGGTACGGGCCTTGTTTGCTGATTCTGTACTTGGACGGACATGGTGGCGGCTTCGTAGAGACATCTCTCCAGACCAGACAGAGACAGACCAGATCTCGATCGAGTCAAAGGCTTTCTCATAGTCCACGAATTTCGAAGTTCGACTTATAACATGTTTCAATCAACATCGAACCATTATTTTATACTTTGATAATAGGTACAAGTACTCATCGCACACTTGACATTGTCAAAATTGTATTCTACGACAATATTTGATGTTCCTGCTTTAAAAAACACAACTCCGCATTAGGAATATATCCTGTGGCGCGGTGGATTTTATAAACAAACATGACATGGACACAAAAAAACACGCAGACTCCAAATGACAATTTGTGGATTACTCCGAATTTTGTCCCATTTTATGATCGAACCCCCAACACACAGCGTAGCAGGAAGCGGCGAGGTAACCGCACCACTTCGACTGCCGTGCGTATTTAACATTGAATTGAATTTGTGTATAATAGAAGTAATAACGTTTGACATATTTAAATATTCACATTGAAATATGTTTATTATTTTTTCGCAATTGAATATGTTTTTCAAAATTCGTATTTCACGCGAGATTTCATGTCTATTCAAGAACTCTTAGATATAAATTATAATAATTACTTACTGAAAATTATTTGGCATATATAGTTGTTTGACATATTTAAGCTACTTAAGTATATTCAAATTTCCATCACGTTTTTCACGTCGCTCATAATCAAAGTGTCCTTCAACTTATCGAGGTTATCCACCCAGCTAAAAACGGATAGAATGAAACGAACAAATAAGAATCTCTGCCATACTTTGTCACTTTACCATCTTTGCTTTTTTAAGTGTTGAAGTAAATGTTTAATAACTGTAGGTATACTTTTATTGAAGACAATTATTTTATGTATCCCATTTTTGTGATGAAACTGTGGTAGTGTGTCTAAATACTAAAATTTGGTTCGTGTATGAAATAGATAATTTTAATTTTAATTTATTTTATACAGGAACCAGATTTTAAATTTTACGGAAGTTAATCAATATTATAATTGTTAACAATATTAATAGGATAAACATAGGTTTTTACCAATAATAAGAATTTAACAATATTTTTAGGACAAAAATGAAATTGAAATTTTAGTGTTTAGACACTACACTTGTACGGATCGTCGTCTCAATAGGGTCAAAAGGTAAGATGTTATGTCAGACTCAAACCCACTAAAACCACACAGTGTTCCGTCACCAGTTTTAATACTATTATAAAACAGTTACTACTCGTATTTAATAGTTTAAGTTATTATTGACCCTCCTTGGTAAAATAGTTTCGAATTATTAGCATAATCACATATACTTATGACTACTATAACTTTAAAGTTCAACAGCTTATAAAATTATGTAAACATATTTTTTATTTGTGTAAACTTAAAAATCATATCAGATAAGTCTTTAAAAAATATATTTGCACTACGTTCAGTTTTTAAATGCAACAGAAGCTAAAAGTACGACTCGTAGTAGTCTACGTAGTTGTAGGCTTAGATCTTAGGAATCTGATCTAAACATTAACCAGTTTAAACGTGACAAGACAGATGCTTTAACGATTATATTTATAACCGATAGAATTCTATTTGTCACCATCATGATATTTAGTTTAAAGCTCTTTAGTCTTTAGTTAAAATGTCTCATGAATGTTAACATTCATGAGACATTTTTTACAAGGACACCGGATACAATTGCCTTTTATCTGGCTCTTTACCCATTTTTTTCCACAGGACTTGTAGTTGCCGGAAATCGAGATACACCCCCTTCCACTTCCCAACCTCAGATCGCCCGTAAATTGTTTTTCCTTTTATTTTTGTTATATTCTCGTCCTTTTTTTAACGGGTTTCATCCTACTATAATTTTTTTTCGTTTCAATAATCATCGACCCTGGTCTATACCCGCTTTGACATAATGAAATGTCCAAATTATATACAGCACTGTTTACTTTACATCCAAACTCCAAATAGAAGCGCTTACTGAGGTCTAAATCCTCAGCTTAGATTGTTATTTCGCGGAACATTGCATTAAAAATTGTCCCCACTTGGGTGTACAAATCGAGGAAATAACAAAATCCACTCGGAAGGAAATGAAACATGTCCAGAAGGATTGTTGAATAAACAAACAGGTTCTACTCAACTATTTATCTCCAATATTAGATTGTAGAGAAATCACATAGATAATGGTTTTCCAGTTATAAATTTTAGTCAGGTTTTTTTTTATGGAATATGGGGCAAACGAGCAGATGGGTTACCTGATGGAAAGCGACTACTGCCGCCCATGAACGCCTGCAACTCAGTGACAAGCGCGTTGGGAGCCTTTGAGGAAGGAGTACGCTCTTTCCTTGAAGGTTAGAAGGTCGTATCGGTCCAGAATACCGCAGCTTTTGGCGTTTTCGAAAATGCCAAAAGTAAAAATTGCAAGACCGTAAACTTTGACGAAACAAGCACTATTTACAATTATCATATAATGTAGGTATATAATATTGTGTTTACAATACTATCCAAAAATAAGTAAACCGACTTCAAAAAAAGAAGGATGCGGTTCAGAATGTGGTGTTGTACTTTTTATGTAAATTACCTTAGAACTCCGTTATGTATGAACAGATTTGGAGTTTTTTTAATATATTTGGGAGGATTTTTATTCCTGTTTGAGCCTTTTCCAATTTGAAGAAGAAATACCACCGTCGACCGGCGGTATTTCGTCATGAGGCAGCAGATGGCCAGCTTTAACCGCGCGTGACTGTACACTGTGGGCAATATAATACACTGTTTCTAAATTAATAGACAACAAAAACATAGACCTGGCCTTAATCTCATATTTAAAGCCTCTGCCCAAATGAATTTGGGTCTCCGTAATATGTCTTAATATGAATTGGTAACAACTTTAGTCGCCCCACTTCGTGTGACCTCTATCTGTGGGCGTGGATACGTGACCGGCTTAAAAGGGTTGCAGTTCACATAATACTGACCCTACAAAGAATTACGAGTCAGTCGATACTAAAGAGAGAATAATGTTCACGTAAACATAGATAACATAGATAAAGTATATTTTATCCGTGGCTTCACTAGCGTTGAATTTTAGGAATATTTCGTTAACAAAAGTAGTCCACGTTCTATTTCTATGTAATCTATCTTTGCCAAATTTTATCCGTTAAACTGTTTTGGCGTGTTTAAGTAACGTACGTCCATAATCCATCCTAACAAACTTTCACGATTTTTATAATAAAATTGGATTGATAGTTCCTAATGAATTAGTTTACTTTAAAGTTTATATCAACGCAATTATTTTTTTTAAGACAACTCCCGCATTAGGAATATATCCTGTGTCGCGGGGGACTTTACAAACATACATGAAACAGACACAAAGAACACCCAGACTCAGAACAACAATTTGTGGATCACACAAAGTGTCGTCCTATGCGGGGATCTGGGGATCGGACTCACGGAGTAGTAATCGGCGTGACGACCGCTAAAACCAATACGCCATCCGTGCAGTCTAATGTTAGCATATAACACTGTAATTAGTAATTCAAGGCTTAACTTAGTTTTACTTATTTAAAAGTTGTAATTTGTTAAGTTTTTTTTCGTAACATTTAGGTCTATTTAGTATTTTTATTGTCCATCGGTAGCTAGCTGTCGGTTACTAATGATATTTCTGACATCTGACACACAACGCCATCTAGTTTTAAACTATGCAGAGCTTGTACTATTGTAGCTAGAATTACGAATATAATACTTACTCGTACATACTTTTTTTTTGTAAATACGTACATATTATACATAGAAAACACATAAACTAGGACACAAACATTTGGTCCGACCCGGGAATCAAACCCGAGACCTCAGCACAGCAGTTTAGTCAGCATTACGGAAGTAGTAGGTAGGCCTAAAAGTTTCTATAAAATATTTATAAATGAAATGTCCAAAAGCATGTCAGGTCTTTGTATATTCAATTAACATTTTCAATTGACTTTGAACCTATAATGAACAGCTTTTAGTGACATTATTAAGTGCTTTTATAATAATAATTAAAAATTGATCAAAGCAAACTTATTTTGAGAGCTAATTAATTATTACCTACATTGTAATTTCTGCTGCATTGCTGTTATCCAAACGGTTATGTACTGGCGTCATTAATGTGATTTAACTCTTTTAACCGACTTTAAAATAAAAGAGGTCAATTCAATTCGGTTGTATTTTTTTGGTGTTTGTTACTTCAGAACTCCGACATTTATGTACCGGTTTGGAATATTCTGTTTATTAAGGAGAGTTTACTTCCTGTTTGGTATAAAATCCGTCACCAATGGAAGGATATAAAGGAACCAAGAATACAGTTCATTATAATTCACCACGATATAGTAGCGTTGAAGTCAATGATACTTTGTTAAAGTTTTTTTTATAGATTTCCCGCGTATTGAACAAACCGCACCAATTGTGCCGATCCGTTCCGCTCCGGTGCCGATCTTTCTATTCTACCAATTTCTTTTGTTGATTAGGCATCATTAGAAATCACTTGAAATTCACGGTAGCTAGATGTGAACTATCAACTTTTATTATTTACAGAATGCTACGTAGCGGCACGGGTCCTTCGGTTTTTTTTTCAGTAGTAATAATAGTTTCTTTCTTTCTTTTATTATCATAGAACCGTAGCAGAGGCGTTGAAACGTGGCGAGAGAGTCCAGGCAGAAAGCTTTGACTGCGTCACAATATATTTCAGTGACATTGTCGGGTTTACCAAATTAGCAGCTACCAACACTCCGATGCAGGTAAGCGAGCCTACTGTATTTTTATTTAACCTTTAAGTCCCTGTTTATTTTTTTATAAAGACAGCTCCCGCATTAGGAATATATCCTGTATCGCGGGGGACTTTACAAACATACATGAAACGGACACAAAGAACACCCAGACTCAGAACAACAATTAGTGGATCACACAAAGTGTCGTCCCACGGGGGGATCGGACCCACAACACTCAGCGTAGTAGTAAGCGGCGTTGCCACCGCTTACCTAAACCACTACGCCATCCGTGCAGTCGATGTTTTATTAACTTTTATGTGTTCTCAACTATAGATAGGATTTATTCCTAGGGCGGGAGTTGTCTTTTAAAAAAAGGAGAAGAAGAAGAAGGAATCCTCATCAAAAAATTAAAAGCTTTGAAACTTTACGAACAAAGCTCTAAAGTTGATGCGTAAACACTTTTGACTACTAAACCAAACTCACCATTTTAGATGGCATTAATCAAAAGCCTCTGATAAATCTAAACATATCTACCATTTGTTAACAGGTGGTGGAAATTTTGAACGACTTATACACGTGTTGCGACGACATAATATCGTACTACAATGTTTATAAAGTGAGTACATTTTTGTTCTACATCCAGAAGGTATATCTATCCCTTTTTTTCTCTGTCTCTTTCTCGTTCATGGCATGAACTCGCCCATACTCCTTTGTATCTGCACAAAGAGCAGACCTAGTACATGGTGTTACTTTACAACTTCCTAAAATGATGAAATGTTTTTGAATTTTAACCTAAAACTCTTCTCTCTATTTCATTTGTAGGACCATATTTATAGTTCTGGCCGTTGGTGAAAGGCTGTAACTAATACATCACACATCACATCACATCAACAGCCTTTGATAGTCCACTGCTGGATAGTCTCTTTAGAAAAGAGGTTTTGGCCTACTATACCACGCTGGCCAGACGGGATGGTATAGGGTTTGTTTCAAGTGTTCCTTCTCTTTGCAGTGCTGTTGTCCTGCGTTGTTAGTTCTCTTAGTCGGCTCTTACGACACCCATGGGATGAATTGGGGTGGTGACACTTCGTATTATTAATCCGTCACCACACGGACATAACATAACTTACATTTTTATCAAAATTGATTCAGATTCAGCAAAAAATTCTGTACCTTTCTGTGTAGGTAATATTTTTTTGTTATACCACATTCACACAACGCCATCTAGTCTCAAACTAAATAGAGCTTCTACTATGGGTACTAGACAACTGACATAAATACATATGTATATACTCTTTTTTTGTAACTACATATATATTATACGTGGAAACACCCAGACCAAATCAAGTATTAAATGATCCTGCACACAAATCTTTGACTTGAGCGGGAATCGAACCGACCGCGACCTTTGGAATAGCAGTCCGTTACACAAACTACTACACCATCCGGTCGTCTATAAATAATGCTCTAAGTCGGTCGTAGCCACAGATACACTTTAATAAAAAAAAACATAATTCAGCACTGAAAACGAGGTTTTCTAGAATGAAAGAGCACAATTTCTTAATTACTCCTTTTCTTGATAAAAAAAAGAGTTTGTGTGCCTATTTGGAAAGCTGCAATTGCATTGTAGAACTTTTCATATTAGCACAGTTTTATCGTAAGTAGGTTGTCGGTTGTAATTCTGATATCATATTTAACAAGCTCTAATTATGGTAGTTACTTATGCCTTTTCATCATTGTATTATTTGCGTTCTAAAATATCTAATAACATGTTTTGTGTGACGAATTCGTTTGAAGATACAAATTATAAAAGACGTAATATTCCAATTATAGTCTAACTACTTAAAATTATGATAGCATTAAAATTTCATTTCTAGTGCAAAAAGACGTTATGCATAACTAGCCATCGCCCGCGGCTTCACAAGATTAGGTATTCTTATTTCTGCCAAACTACCCATCCCTTATACCCTTTAAACTTTATAGCATAAAGGTTGGGGAAGATAGCAGGCGGAGCGGGAAGGGAGGGGTCCCGATTATTTGAAGTTAAATATAAATATACGCATTTTTCCCATAGGTAGAAACCATAGGCGACGCCTACATGGTGGTAGGCGGTCTACCAGAAAGATGTTCAAAGCACGCTGCAGAAGTGGCGTCACTGGCTTTACACGTGCTTGATGCTGTACCAAAAATTCTAATGCGCAATATGCCGGCTGCGAGACTGCATATTAGAATAGGTAACATATTTAGTTTCAAATTTTACCTGCTTACTATATCCGTTATTACTCCGGTTTCTCTCTTCTCTTCTCTTTCGGCTCTTGACTGCATTCGACGAAGAACGACTCGAACCGTAGATTGCCAGAATATTTCAGATCAGCTTGACAACCTGGCGTTTCGTAAAGATGTAGCTTTTCTCTACATTCTCTATCGCTTGTATTATTGGGAGTGCTCCGAAGAATTGTTGGAAATTATACCGGGCCGTGGTTTTCCGCCGTCGAGAGTGATACAATTTCAACCACTAAACCTCGGATAATTGACGAGGAGTGCTGATTATCCAAGTGATGGGGTGGAAGTTTGTTAATCGGCATGTTCTCATGGTTCTACTAGCAGTAATGTTTGTCTATAGTTTTTTTGAATTATTTCTAATGATTTTCCTCCTACATTCGTCAATACAGCTAATACGGCTGCTATCACATGCAATATTTCATATTAGTTTAAATAAAAAAATTGTCTCAACTATGTGACCTCTGCTGTTGATTACAGCCTCCTCTCAGAGAAAAATTAAAATAAGTCAGATAACAGATATGTATTCTTTTAGACGTACAGTAGCCGATAAAAATATATTCGAAACCTAGTCTGTCACTTTGCAGTACTAATATCAGTATTGGCAAACTTAAGGACTATGAAAAAATTAACCTAACTAAGAAATGTTTCCTCAGGAATACACAGCGGGCAATGTGCTGCAGGCGTGGTTGGCATGAAGATGCCTCGCTACTGCCTGTTCGGAGACACAGTGAACACTGCCGCTAGAATGGAGTCCAGCGGTGAACCACAACGAATCCACATCAGCCATGACACGTACCAGTTACTTAAACAACATGGTGGATATCACTTTAAGGAGAGAGGAATAATTAACATTAAGGTAGATGGTTATTGGTGATGAAACACTTTATTATGCTTGCTGAATTATCTACAAGGCATGAATTCTTCAGGCAAACTAACAGTCAATCTTAGGGTTGCGAAAGGGGGTAGTAGCTCCATCCTACAGATCTGCACCTCGCTTGAGAATGTTGATATTTAGCGTATAAAAATACGAGTAACAGTAAAATCAGAGAAGGAAAAAGTGGGAGTCGCGGCCTATCAAGAGGTCAAACAGATTGCAAAAATTAGAGCGTCATGTCGATAGCGCCAGCAACAAGGGCCTGGATCTTAAATTAAGAAAGAGCCATGATTCGGCACATATGGCCAAGATTCGATCGGAGTGATACTAGGGTCTCCTAGAAAATTGATTTCTGGGGGGGGGACTGAAACGCACCTAAGACTCTTGAGTTGCAGGCGTCCATGGACGGTGGTAGTCACTTAACGTCAGGTGATCCGTCTGCTTGTTTGCTCCCTAAATTATAAAAGAACTCGGTGTATTTTAGGGTTAACAAACCTCTTTATAATATTAGTGTAGATAACATGTTTTATTTATAGGGAAAAGGGGAAATGCGAACATGGTGGCTAGTGGGCGAAGACAATGACAGAAGAAGTAGCATGATCAACAGATATCGTAAGTATATTTTTTTATTGGTGAATGGACTCTACGACATGGTAGAAACTAGATTTTAATTTATCCTATAGTTCTCCAGTAACTTGTTAAACAACAGACGCCGCTGCATTTCAAATCAGGTTTTTATCATGCTTGTCATATTTGTGATTAACTGCTGTCAGTCCTGAGACAGTACTCTGACAGTGGGCTTTTTGAGTATATACTAAGTAATGTCAAAATTTCATTTAGGTCCTGGTCTCTCTAACAACATCCAAGAAAACGAAGACTCTCTTTGGGGGTTGAACCGTTCAAGCCTCAATATTCGAGACCGAGCTCGTCTCTCGTGTGGAGGTTCTCTAGGCCCTGGTTCAGCGCTGTCCTCCCCTGGCCCTCCAGCTTGTGACTGCTTCGTCCCTCACCGTGACCATCACTCCGCACCAGTCGTGTTATTCTGTGACGAATGACGCTAACAAAGCTCATTACAGGATTTCTGGTTGAAGAACGACTGTGAAGTTATCGAACAGAACGATGCAGAATCTTTAAAAGATGTGCAGCTAGATAGAAATGTTTACAAAGGGAGCTATTTAGATGTGAAAGTTCCTATAGATGATGTTTTAGGTGTCAAGATTGATAAAAATAGTACCCAAAATAAATATTTAGAAGAAGTGAAAGTGGATTTAAAGATCCCCGATAGTGGGTATATCGAAGATAGTTACAACGATTACATGTTATTCTACCAATTTGGTCAGAGAGAGATAGAAGATAACTCGGCGATTCGTGCCAGAAACCTCGCTGCACTGAAACGTCTATATTGTCTGGACTATGATTTTGGTACTTGGTTGTAAATTTTATACTGGATTTGTTAGTGTAACTACTTAAATGATTGGGAGATGATGGCTCAAACATATTTCGTGATGTCTAGTCATAAAGATTTAGGTTTAATAAATCATTGTGCAATTTAAATGTAGTGTAAGTGTTAACTTTAGATAATTTAATATGTACGTAACAAAAAATTGTATGTACTTAATAAATGTACCCAAAACGACTATTAAAAGAAGTGATGCTTATATATTTTCAAATGTGTCTAGTTATTGCAATCTGATCCATGATCGCATGGTATCTTATAAAAAGGTACCTATCTATTTGAAGAAAAATAATGGTATTCCGTTGGACAAGAAGTTGGGTGCGTCTTAGGAACATGTTTACCCACAAAGAGCGACAACACTATATTACGTACGATATTATGACGTATATGATATATGACGATAAAAAAATCATCCTATTTTTCAACATAATACGTTCATTGTATTAAGACCACGAATAAATTTTCTCCAGCTATAGGACCGATCTAAGTTGGATTATTGCTACTAGAAATATTAAATATTTATATATATATGTATAAAAGTGAACGCTATGCTATGCGCATCATTTTAGAAGACTGGATCTGTTAGCCCAATTTTTTTGATGTTTGTAATAGGTTTATCTAAGAAAATGTTAATGTAAAAATGAATGGAATTTTTCACAATAAAAAATGTTTGTTACGCACTTATTTCTTTGAAATAAAGTCAAAATATATGTGGGTCTTATCCTGGATTTTCGAATAAGCATAATAAAAGGCTATTGTAGTCATTTACAATATTCGCTATGAAGTAACTCTTTTCTACCTATTGTGTAAGAATCATTACTTGAATATAAGAATTTAATAAATAAAGGAGTGAATAAATAAAAGGAACGTGTTTTTAGGGTATTTTTGTATCTTTATCAAGAATAATATGATTCGCTTAAAGATAGGAAAAGAGTTTCGAATAAAACTGTGTGTTGTGCGTATAGGGTAGACTTCTAAGTACCTAGCACTTTAAAGCTTATGAGCTATGTATTATTTGTATTATGTTATTATTACAATTTGTATTAATATGTTATTGTATTATCTATACTTGTATGAATTAGAACGAGAATTCAGCCGTCCTACATACGGCCACATATTATTTACCAGGACCGTAAGATCCTGATTTTTACAATGGAATCAATTTAAAAGTTTATTACCAAATGTAAACATTGTATAAAGATTATAAGCTCTAGTTATATAAAATCAAGTCCGCCATCTTGTTTTAACAAAAACAAGATGGCTGGCTCAAAGCTTAACATAAAGTACCTACATAGTAGATAATGAAAGCGTTGATTGATACACTGGCCTATAAAATTCATGAGGCCAAACATATTTATATTTTAAATATACCTATATATTTATACGATTCTTAAATTTTATTATCAAAATTATACAATTTAGCATATTGAGTAAGAGTAGCCATTTTATTGGCAAACAATTCATCTTACAACTGTAAGAATTAATGATGCGCACTCCTAATGCCAATTTAATGTAACAATCGTTAATGGAAGTCCCCTTGTTAATATAAAAAACGAATATTTTAATTACTTACTAATTTTTATAAGAAACTCTAGTAGATAAAAATGGTGTCGTAAAAGTTCATTTAATACACGTATCGCACCCTTAGAATAAAACCGTTTTGTCATAAACTGACCATAACTGATCTTTCAGAAAAAAGGATAACAATTATGTGTGAGAAAGAGACTACACATCGGTCCCCATTGTTGATTCCCTAATTCACCTTCGTTTTTCTTTTGAACGATTTTCTTGCTCTTTCCACACATTACATTTTGAGTTTGATGACCTTAATTCTGAGAGTGCGATATCTCGAATGCGTTTATGAAATATGTATATTGATGATAATGTTTGCTAAAAATGGGCCTAACAAATGTACCCTAAATATATATTTAGATATGTATACAATATTATATTTAGAGTTGATTCTAGTATATCATCAACAGCCTATACTAGTCCACTGCTGGACATAGGCCTCTCCTTAGAAAGGAGGTTGATTCTAGTATATCAAGACATTTTTATTATGTAATTTCGATTCAAAGCCATCATAAGAAAAACTTTGAAACACATTAATTCAGCTTGTTTAATCTGACAGATAAAACGATTGAAAGGGTGGGTAATTTAAAATTACCTATGCCCTAAAATCACTCAATACTTACCTACACTTAAACGTAATAACCTAATCTTAGTTAAGAAACAGAAATATCACAATATTAATTTCTAAACGTACTAATGTACAGTCACCCTCAAAAAGAAAAAGAAAGATAAAGTTTTCATATATTGTAGATTAGTAACTTTGTATTCAACAAACAAAATCATTGATACAGCTATTGTTTAATAACGACGGAAAAGTATTTATCATAAAGTGAGTTTCAAGACGTTCTACTCATTTTTTTGTGTGGATACTACCACGAGTAATCACACCAGCCAACGGTGACGTGGTATTCCGTCAATCATGATCTATTACAAGAGACTAAAGAATAGTTAGAACACATGAAAACAAATTTAATTGTTCCTGTTCGCTGTGAAGGTATTTCATTGCTTTAGAGTGAAAATTACATCATAAGTAATTTTGTATAGACTCAGGTTCTGAATACAATTTTTAAAAGACCGTTAGTAAACATTACTAGGATTGAGGTCACGGCTATTCGAACCTAGCAACTTCAAAATTGCAGTTAGTCGTTACGGTACCCTTAGTTATTACGGTACAGGCGGCGCCTTTAATAACCTTTTATATTTTTCATTTGTTATGTAACAGATGTTTAGAGAGCTAAGCATTTAGATCAGTACTTATTCAGAAAACTTTAATAATCGGTTAGAAGAAATCTGTGAATTGGTCACTTTTATAAAGTAAAAGTACGTTAGACACGCTATCCGTGCAGTCGAATCTAAAATTTGGACACAATAATGCAAAGTAATCGCCACTGTAATTATTGAAGAATTATGTTTAGAAGTAAATCATGTTTATGTGTACTTTATCGAATGTGTTTACATAAATATTGCTGTTGATTGTTGGTAAATAAAGATGTTTTTTTATTAAAATATAGCCCTTTTATTTCTTCTATCCAATCAAATGATGATATTATACAGTCGAACTATTTCACGATATGCTGTATATTTCATTATTTTTAAAGACCTACAAAATGCGAGACAGACACGATTATAAATAAATAAAATAACATTGACTTACTGTAGGCAGTCTACATCGATATAAATTTAAATATATTTTAACCTTCAAACAGTAGATTGAACACAATTTTCGTTTCAGTCATATTTGATGTATCTATATAGGTATATCGAAATGTACACTCAGACGATCTTCTAAGAAATTGTGGACGAAGGTTGACATCGCTTTTCTATGACGCACGATGTTGTAGATAAATATTATATTTCTAAACGAAAGAACTACATGTTACATTATAACGAACTGAAGCTCTGTCTCTGTGAAAGGGATATTCTCATTAAAGATGAGAACAACGTCCCTTCATGCCCCGTCCATTGTTAAGCAAATTTTTGCGAGTAAATATTTTCTTTACTGTATAAGGGGGCAAATGAGCAGACGGGTTGCCTGATGGTAAGTAACAACCGCCACCCATGGACGCCTGCAACTCAACAACACAACAACAAATGCGTTGCCGCCTTTTGAGTCCCGCCCCCTTTTTGTTCTGTTTGGACATCCCTTCGGATACTACCCACCGGTGGTTATACCGGACTCGAATCGACCAAAAACCGCACGCCGTCTCGGGTACTAGTAGCTGGGGAACCAGGTGTACCCTAGAAAGGAAATCCCTGAGTCTCTCCATTTAATCAGGGAGCCGGCGCTCAAACCTTCAAACTCGCTTGGTGAAAAGTAAGGAAGGAATAGTGCGTTTGCAGTAGGAGATACATATTACAGCGCCAATGGGCCGGCTCACCCGGGTTGATACCTCAGCATCACTAAAAACCGTTGTTAAGCAACTTTATCATAATTATTTACCCGAATTTAAAAAGGAAGAGGTTATCAATTCGGATGTTTATATTTTTATTATGTGTTCAGGTTTTTTTTTTGTATGTTCGGGTATAACTCCTTCATATATAGACGGATTCAGCAGTCTTTCCTTTATTCGAAAGGGGTTTATTCCGAAATGGTCCCATTAAAATTTTATATAGAGACTCTGATGATGAGTTTCGGAGACAGACTACGGAACTCCTCAAAAAATGGCAACAAATCAACAGTGATTGCTGTTAGGTTTTTAGTGCTCTCTGTTAGTATTGCTTGAAGTTGGTTCAACTTCATTTTAAAGAGATTTATTAATAAATGATTTAGGTAATCGGAGCCCAGTCAACACCCCGCCCCTCCTTAATTCTAGGGGAAGGGGCAATTAAATGACGGATACGAGCTTGTAACTCTCAAGTTACAGGTGGCCACGGTCAAGAATTTTGCTCTAGGATTAGACTTTTTAGTGGTCAGATTTCCAATTTATCTACCAGATAATACATTCAATTTAAACAATAACAGACATAAAAAAAAAAACAATACTAGCTGCTACATTAGCAAAAATGTCAACAGGGTATTTCACCGTGAGGCTCGCTTTGATTTTTAAGTTTTTATTGCTTACGTTGTTTCCGGTATATCGGATATAGATGCAAAACAACCGATTTAAAACGTTTTAAACAAAATGTTGCCGTTTTAAAATCGAAATTTATTTTTGAAATCGTTTTAAACGGTTGAAAACTCGCCTACAATAATAAAAGGACATGTTTCGTTTCAATTAGATTATAGAAAATCAATAGAAAGTACCTGCCTACAATAATAAAAGGACATGTTTCGTTTCAATTAGATTATAGAAAATCAATAGAAAGTACCTGCCTACATTTCCTACAAAACTTATGTATGTAGGAATATCCACAAATACTTATTTATTATATTATTAATCTAGTGTGATTAGAAGACATCAATAACAC